ACATGTACATGTAGATCATTGGCTTTTCTACACTGTAAATATACCTGACGCCTGACGCGTCCGGACGCGTTCAAAATTTGTACACCGAATGTTCAATATTTTAACGTCATATGTTCATGCTTAGAGACGTGTTCAAAGTTTTAACGTTTGTGTTAAAAATGTTAACATGTGTGTTCAGACGCAGTGAACACCGGTGTTCAAAGTCTGATCTAAAAAAGAAGATAGTCGTTTGTTCGATTTTCTATCCTTCCAATTGGCAAATTCAAAAAGAAATTCTTTAAAAAATATGAATGTATACGCAGGATGATGATCTTGTGAATTTTTGGCTAATATTTTAGTAATTGTGAAATATTAAACTTCCAAGCTGGCATATATGTATAGTTTATGAATTTATTTTATTATTTATTTATATATACTAGTTTTACTTATAAGTGACATAATTATGCATATCAATGAGGCCTGTTATGATAATATCGTAATAAAAATATGTCGATGTTTATGTTATTTCATGATCCGTTCATTTTATTAACATTACATGTTCAATCAGTGTTCAAATCGCTCGAAATTTTGAACACCTCGTGTTAAAAAAAATATACCAGGATACCAAATACCGGAAACAGATATCGGCTGGCGATTTAGGCGGTTAAACGAAGAATGGATACACATAAGAAAGAGAACTGGAGAAGGGACTTCTATCCCATATGAACACGAAAGAAGTAAGTAACAAGTTAGAATAATCTCCATAGGTAGTTCGATGGCTTCCTTGTTATTTTCTCATGCCAGATATATATTTGTCAAATATTCATAACTGTCATATCCAAATTTTCAATATTTAACATAAAAGACGAATTAAAAAACGGGCTTTAGATATAAACGTAAATAACTGTCAGCTTTGTTCTGATGATTTCCTAAACTGATGAATAAACAGTCTGTCTGTTATACAGAATAAATGATGATTTTCGACATCCACATACATTAGCTGAACACTAAGTGTTAAGAACTCTAACATCAAGTGTTAAAAAATGAAACACAAAGGCATTAAAAACTGAATACCACACATTCAATTGATGAACACTAAGTGTTAAGAACTCTAACATCAAGTGTTAAAAAATGAAACACAAAGGCATTAAAAACTGAATACCACACATTCAATTGATGAACACTAAGTGTTAAGAACTCTAACATCAAGTGTTCAAAAATGAAACACAAAGGCATTAAAAACTGAACACCACACATTCAATTGATGAACACTAAGTGTTAAGAACTCTAACATCAAGTGTTCAAAAATGAAACACAAAGGCATTAAAAACTGAACACCACACATTCAATTGATGAACACTAGTGCAAACATTTGGAACACTATTTTTGACTTAGAAAATGCATTTGTTTTTTTTATTTGCAGGAATCGTTAGATTAAAATGTTTGAATTAGAAACCGGTAGCCAATAATCCCAAAAAGGTCATTTCTGCATGCTATAAAGTGGTGGAAAAAAGAAAGATGTAGAAAAAAGGTATGACAGTATATGTATATTAATAGCTTATGTGGGTGTATCATTTCTATCTGTTCACCTTAGGTCAAAAACTTTTGTAATTTATAATGTCAAAACTTGCATTTCATTGCTATAGAATATCAATTTGTACACTAGTATATATCGACATTAAAGCATAACAAGCATTGCAGAATTTGATGCTTTATGAAAAACTCTCTTCTATTAATTTTTTATTTTATTTTGCAGGATGTATAGGCTCATAGACATTCCTTGTTGTGGAGGATTTTGACATTGGAAGTTGATAACAACACATAAAATGCCACCCAGTTGATAGCTTTAAGTGAAGATGCACTGAAAAGTGGAGCGTACATTGTATGTGATCGTACAAGAACTGTTGGAATTTGCAAACTTTTAAACTTTCATTGTGACAAATACCTATATCATAAACTATCTAATTATCACATTGACATGCTTTTTTGGTTAGGATACAAATGATGTTGCAACTATCTAGTCATGTAGGGGAAAATCATTATTTGTGATATATATTTAAGTCAGTTTAAAAACATTATGTATGTGATTTCACTGACTGTTACTTGTGATATCATAAGGTATCTGGTGTACTTTTCTTACATATAATATGCTGATTTGATTACATAAAGAATTACTTGTTAAAATATGTTTTATTGTTATATTTTGCCTGATTGAATATAGTTTTTATAACAGTTTATTTAAGTTGAGTACTTATGGAAAATTATGTACGCTTGAAAATAGAACATGTTCCACATTTGAACACCATCACTTTGAACACTTATGTCAACTGTTCTGAAAGTTAACGTCTGGTGTTCTGAATCTTAACACTTTGGCTTTAAACATGTTCTATGTGTTCAAAAAGTGTTACATGGCTGTTGAACGCGTCGACGTATTAAGATTTTGAACATTCGGATACGTTAAATCGTTGAACACTAAGTGTTAAGAACTCTAACATCAAGTATTCAAAAATGAAACACAAAGGCATTAAAAACTGAACACCACACATTCAATTGATGAACACTAGTGTAAACATTTGGAACACCATTACACGTTCAAAAATTGTTACAAAAAAGCGTTCAAGCAGTGTTCTATTTATTAACACTTAGATTTACAGTGTACACATTGATATTTTACAATATTGATTATCTGTTTATCATTCTATTGCTGGTATTTTTCTCCTCCCTAAAAGTTTTAATGTTAGATGAACTCAAGCTTGATAGGGTCTCCTCGCACATTATGACGCGACTTCAAAATTTTGGTTGACATATGTATATATATATCATCTTTTCATGGGTTTTGCTATTAAGAATTTTTGATGCATTGTGGCGAGTCACAATTTCCATTGAAAAGGCATGAATAGTACGAATTCATATGACAAATGTATGACGTACGAAAACAAATGATCTGACCATATATGAACAGATTATCAGCTTTTCAACACATTGATATTGTCAAATATTAGCCACAATGAATCTTTTTAGCAATGAACCATTTTAGCGAGTGAGTGCAGCTAATGAGCTAAAATGAATCATATTGTGTCCTCAGTGGGTGATATTTTAAGTTATCGTCCTTCCCTACGCCTATATCACCCTGCTCAGTCGCTCCGTAATTCTCGTATCACGGCTTTGAGACGAGAGCAGGCATTATCAGCGACGTCACAATGTGAGAGGAGACGTTATCAAGCTTGCTTTTGTCAAGCGTAAAACTGTCTTAAGGAGGGGAAAAGAACAGTTATAGAACGATAAACAGAAAATCGGGTTTTCTTCGTATAGATATCGTAAAATATCTGCCGCTCAACACAATGTGAAGCTTTTTCTCTCGTTCGCTGCGCTCACTCGCAATAAGGTTCACATTGTGGCTCGCGGTTGATATTTTACGATATCAATGTGTAGAAAACCCAATAATCTATACGTATCTATACAAAGAAAACCTGATTGCTTTTTCACCTCCCTAACTTGACAAGACAGTTTTTACCCTAGACGAAAGCAAGCTTGATAATGACTCCTCACACATATGTATAGATTATCAGCTTTTCTACACACTGATATCGTAAAATATTAGCCAGTGAGCCGCAATAAACCTTTTTGGTGAGTCATTGTGAGTGAGCACAGCTAATGAGCTATATTTAAGTAAAATGAATAAAATTGTGTCCTCAGCGACAGTGGGTGATATTTTACGGTATCTATACACCTTATCGCTATTTGTCCGCCATTACTGGACATCACATAGGTTCCCGTAAAATTTTGACGCCATAATACAAAATTTCTGAGGCAACAATGGAAACTTGATTGTTGTATGACGTCGATCAATAGAAACTTGATTGTTGTATGACGTCGATCAATAGTTCAAGCCGGACAGATTCTTGGGTCAGCCGGGAATACACCTATCCACTAATCTGAGATAAGCCCGCCCATCATAGCAACACATGGCAACCCAGCATCCTCGGACAAGCTTATCTACAAAATGGCGGTTACTACGAAGTTAGATGTGTTGCTACACAATATTAATCTTGATTATTTTAAGGATAAGACATTAACAGGGAGATCAAAAGACCAAGGTTATAATTATTTTACACTTGGTTACATTCATAGTATAAATTTGTGTGAAATTAGTGCAAATGAAGTGGATATTAAAGCCAAATGTTACCGGTCAATGAGGAAAAATGAAGCTCCACACAAAGTAAACATTACAGTGTTGAAAGACGAGAAGATTATATCAGACAGCAATTGTACATGTGTAGCAGGGTAATTAATTAATTAAAATATACATTATTGCGTGTGGTGTCATACTCCACATGATAAAATGATCAGATAAGAAAGTTTTTAGATAAGATACATATCAAAGATTTATGGCACAGCATGTAAACTGGTCAATTTACGCTCAATGAAACACTTGTTTTATTTGTGTATTGATAATTGGCTAAGCTTTGATTACATTTATATTCATTTAATGATTGTATAATCTATCAATTCTATCATGAAATTAAAAAGATAAATATGAAAATAAATTATACGATACACCAGAATTATTAAAAACTTCTTTCTTCATTTTCAGTTTATCTGGTACTTGTTCCCATGTTGTTGGATTAGTGCATACAATTTGTCACTACCAGAATTTAAACTTAAAAGAGGTACCATCAGAGCTATCTGCAACAAGTTTGCCGCAACAATGGCACAAACCAAGGGGAAGGAAAATAAAAGCACAACCTGTAGTTTCAATGACTCTTGCAAATCCGACAACACCTTCTTCAGAGAGAAAGAGAAAACCAGTGTTTACAGAAATTCCGCAGGTTGATTTACCAGGTTCATCATCAAGTGCAATTTTAAAACTCAAGGAAGATGATGATATTCCACTGAGTTACTTACTGCAAGAAAATGCAACCACAATCAACACAAGGCTGGGCAAAGTTCAGACTGGGTCCTTACTGTATTTTCATGTAAGTAAAACATATTCAGAAGTTCAGATATATTTTAATTTCCTTCACCTGAAAATAAGATATACATTACATTTTGACAAGAGTGTCCTGAAAATTTGTTAATAAGGAACATACAGTCCATATTTCATTAATGTTATAAAATAAAGTTCCTGGAATTCTTCTATTAACAATTTTGAAATTTTTTATTTGATTAATTGAACGTTCAATGTGAATTCTGTGAGCTGCAATTTTACGGGTAAGTGCAACATCACCAGAAGACATTTGTGTTGCAGTTGATGCAAAAGGTGGAATATTTAGTCTTAAATTTAATTCACCCAGCTCTTTTTCTATACGAAATCCTTTGTCTGCCATTATTCCATCATTGTCTTGAAGATAACCCTGATCTTTAAGTTGCTGTAGCAATTTGTAAAATCCACTTTCCTTGCAAATTTCATTGTCCGAGATAGATCCAGAAAATAAATCGGATACAAATATGACAGAACCTCTTGGATCTGTAACCACCAAAGATTTCAAGGTTGTTGAAGACTTGTAGTCTGAATAGCACTGACTCTGTGACTTGAGTGATGAAGGTTTCTCTGTTTTTAATTCGGTACAGTCTATAATTGCAAGGCATGTTGGAAACTCTTGTTGGTATTGATGTGGCATATTCTGTATAATAGTGTCTCTGTGGGGCCAGTATGACAAATATCCCAATTTAAGGAACATATAATGGATAACACTCTTGAATATAACACTAACACTTTGGGGTTTGATGTTGAATCTGTATGCCAAGTCCTTTATGTGAAGTCCATTTCTCAAACGACACAACACTAAGAATAGCTGGTCAGTGAGGATCATTGCTTTGACTTCTTTTCTTTTTTCTTTATAATTTACTGGATTAATTCCTTCTTCTGGAAATAAAAAGTTTACTAACAAAATGAATCTTACATATGTTAATCCAGTGTAATACTCAAAAAGTTTCTTTATGTTTGAATTTGCCACTGTTTCTGCTGAAAACTTTTTATTATGGACAACTTGTTTCTGTTTCTTTGCTGGTGATCTTTTGCTCTTTAGTTTGAAATCCTGCTCAACACAACTTGCTAATTGCATCTTTAGGTCTTCATTTTGCTTAATGAGGGCATTTTTTTCTTCTTCCAAATTCTTTATTGATGAATTACGTGCAATCAAATCCAAGTTTGTGTAAACTGAAAAAAGAAAATAGAAAAATATGAAAAATTATGAAACATGAAATTCTATTTTTTTTTTCAGTTACAGCACTATGAAGAGTCACAAACAGCAGATGTCACAGCTTGTGGATATACAAAATTTCCCATTAAAGTTACAAATATAATAGATGACTTGTATAAATGTTGTAATGAGTTCATGCCAATGAGTATTGAAGAAGCCATGCACTTAGAAAATGTTACTGTTCGCCAGTTTGACTGTACAGAGTGGTTCAATCAACGAAAGAAAAGAATAACAGCTTCACAATTTGCCAGAGTTGCTAAACGAAAAAAACAAGTGAATGACAAATTTTTACAATCTTTGTTTGATCCAAAGAAATTTTCAAGTGCGGCAACCTCATATGGAACTGCCAATGAAACTGTGGCAAAAGAACAATATGCTGAAAAGTATAAGGACAACCATCTTCACGATTGTGGTTTAGTAGTCAATCCTGGATTTAGTTTTCTTGGTGCTACACCTGATGGCAAACTGTGCTCCAATGGTACCACAGGAATTGTAGAAATAAAATGTCCTTATGCTGTTAGAGACCTTAAAATTGAAGAGGCAGTTGTCACAGCTAATTTTTGTTTGCAAAAAAATGGATATATTTTAGTTATGAACACAGGACATGATTATTACTATCAGGTTCAAGGACAGTTACTTATAACTGGTGCACCTTTTTGTGAATTTATTGTATACACAAAATCAGATATGTCAGTGGTAAAGGTACTTCCAGACTACGAATTTCAAATGGAAATGTTCAGTAAACTATGTGAATTTTATAAAACACATGCCATGCCTTATCTTGAAAAAATCGAAAAAGACTTACCAACTTCATCAGTTTGATTATCTTTGTCATTTTCATTACTAGACAGTATGCTTGGATTTATACATGTAACTTCTGGTACACTACAGGAGGGTTCTGCACTATTTTGTTCTAGTTCAACATATTTTCTTTTTCTGGATTTTACTCTGGCTTCATAAACCTGGCCACCAGTTGCAGGAAAAGGATCTGGATTCTTTTCTGGTGGAAAACCACCAACAAAGTGCTGAAAAAATAATGTTTATTCTGTTTATTATGAAAATAAAAGTAGACAATAAATAACTGGTTATCTATAAAGTTTGATTTACAAATAAGCTTATCAAATATGTGTTGAGACTAAGTTTTCCTTTATTTGTTTTAGTTATTAAATAACTCTATATCATTCAGATCCATCTATCATGTCTATCAGTAAATCAGCTTTTTATTTTTAATTGAAAACAGATATTAATTATGTAAATAATTGTTTACAAATATTAACAAAAATATTACATACCTTTGAACAAACATATGTGTCTCTTGTTATTTTATTAACATTTAGTTGTTCCACAGGCCTCCCACATGCCTTAATCCATCTTAAACAAGCATCATAATTTGTCTTTGGTTTTGGAAACGGCAGGAAGGATACATTAATTATCCTCTCTGGATACCTTGTATCAGAATTGCATGTCCCCCATGAGCATCTTTTTACCATTTATCTCAAAAATAAGTGGAAATCTTCTAATTGACCATGTGTTTATATCTATAGCTTGTCCGAGGTTATGGCCGACACACGTGTTGTTATCATAACATTGATTCACGTGCATCTTGTAACTGATATGATTGACTGATATATTTATCATAGATAAGAAATGGATTGGTGTATAGCGATAAAGTGTATACTAAGAAAACCCGATTATCTGTTAATCGTTATACTACAATTTGATTACTGGCTTTTTAACCTCCCTAACTTGTCCTAGCCCTAAGACAGTTTTACGCTAGACAAAAGCAAGCTTGATAACTACTCCTCACACATTGTGACGTCGCTGATTACATCTCCTCCGACATTATGACGCGAGTTATGACGTTGCTTATAATGCCAGGGTCATGTTCAATATCGTAGCGGCTACGTAGATTTTTGTCTACTGAACGAGTAGCTCGCCTTGCTGCTATCAATATCTACGTAGAAGCTAGGCTAGCTACATGTTCAATAGTCATAAATCTACGTAGCACTACGGAGCCGCTATGATTTTGAACGCAACCCTGCTTTCGTCTAAAAGCAGTTATACTGAATTACGGAGCAACTGAGCAGTGACGTAGGGAAGGAGTATAACACCATGGTTCCGTTCAATATCGTAACGGCTACGTAGCAGCTAGGCTAGCTACATGTTCAAGTCATAAATCTACGTAGCACTACGGAGCCGCTACGATATTGAACCCAACCCTGCTTTCGTCTAAAAGCAGTGATACGAGAATTACGGAGCGACTGAGCAGTGATGTAGGGAAGGAGTAGAACACCAATGTCACCATGGTTGCGTTCAATATCGTAGCGGCTACATAGAGCTACGTAGATTTATGACTATTACACTACGTAGCAGCTACGATATTGAACGCAGCCCATGTAAAATCATGTCAAATCAATTTGTCCTTAGGGATATAAAATTTGTTCTTGTAATCCTCGGGGAAATCGTGGTACCCGGGATATGCAGAATTACAGTAATTGAGAATGAGTACATCTATACTTCAGATCTGACTAGACTAGAAGGGGGGGGGGGGGGGGGGTAGGAACTTTATCGGGACTCCGGGATCGGGTGTTTTTAAGCCCGGGATTTCGGGATTGATCCTTTCGGGATCCGGGAATTCTTTTTTCGAATTTCGGGATGTCGGGATTTACCTTTTTTTTAATTCGGTACCCTCGGGATTCCATGTTTTTAAGCCCGGGATTTCGGGATCAGGACCCCTCCTACCCCCCCCCCCCCCGACCCCCCCCCCCCCCCCCGACCCCCCCCCCCCCCCCCACTATAAACTTCATGTGTACAAACCTCATGTCAAACTATGTACTATAAAAGAAAACAAATAATGTCACAGTAAACCCTATCACATTACATCTAAAGATAACAATAATCCAAAGTAAATTATATTACGATATCAATGGAAGAAATTCCCGCGCAAATGTCATGACTGGGTAGACCAAAAAGAATTTTAGGTCTCTCTATCATTCACATTCCGATCAATTTACTCAGTTAAATAAATATATATTTTAACTATATTTAAATTTGTTTTAAATTTAGTTAATCTATCAGAGAAATTATTTATTTCTCGCAGACAAGCCTTAATGCTATACACCAACTCGACACTGAAGGTAAAAAACCCTAACATATAATGGTATATGGAATCGTCCAAACGGATTTCCTAATATTGATGAAGGTGAACTATATAGATTTAGAATTGTGTACACAGAAATAAGATTACAAATCAAGCCCTATGAAAGGTGAAAACAAAAACAAACAATTGTATAACATCATTGTTATTAAATTTGCTTCCATAAGAACCGTGAAGTTAAAATTTATAACGATTACGTGTATCCTGTCAACCCCTGAAAAAAATAATAATGTCTTCTTGGCTACTTCCGGACGCGGTGGTCAGTATAATTAATATTTTGTAATATAGTATGTTAATTAATAAACTCATCATAGATACTAGGATTAAATTTTGTATTTACGCCAGACGCGCGTTTCGTCTACAAAAGACTCATCAGTGACGCTCGAATTCAAAAAAGTTAAAAAGGCCAAATAAAGTACGAAGTTGAAGAGCATTGAGGTCCAAAATTCCTAAAAGTTTTGCCAAATACAGCTAAGGTAATCTTTATGATTTATCATAAAATAAATGGAAAAACATTTTACTTTATTTTTTTCTTACAAACATTCGTATTTTTTTATATATATTTGAAAAGAACAAACAAAAACAAAAACACTGATTTTAGTCATATCTTGACTAATCAAGCAAATAAGTACACCAAATAACAATTGTTTTTCAACTATAATAGACAAGTTAGTTTACATGTATAGCTTTTGATACCCAATTAATACTGATAGATAACAAATGTGATTACGGATAATTTGCAAAGCCATTTTGGTTACTTAGTTGGTTAAATGGGCCCCATGGCCACGGATAAAATGGCACAGGCGGTAAGTTGACTGGTGGTGCTTGCGGAAATGGCATCCTGTGTAGGTTATTGTTTATGTTGAATGTGGTTGTTCGCGGAAACGGTGGTCGTTGTTGACTAGTGTTCATGTTGAATGGTTGTGGTTGTGGAAACGGTGGAGTTTGCGGAAACGGTTGTCGTTGTTGACTAGTGTTCATGTTGAATGGTTGTGGTTGCGGAAACCGTGGTGATTGTGAAAACTCTGGTTGGTGTTGAATATTGTTAACTTGGTTGTGACTATAATGTCTGTATCTTTGGTTTGCTGGGTGATCCCCATTTGTTGAATACTGGTTAAATTGGTGGTCATAACGTCTTGTAGTTTGGTTGTGTTGATCCATATGTCTTGTGGTTGACTTGTACGGTTGCGATGAATTGGTTTTCGAGGGTGTAATATTCATAACTTTTTTCAAAAATTTAACAAGCGATGGTATGCCTTTAGTAGTGTTAAGATGCACATTATCAAAGTACATATTGTCTGCTGGTACGAATGGGTCTAGTGTTCGAATAGTTTTAAAGCCTTGACTGACAGATAGTATAGTCCGATTTGCCTTCTGCACTTGATCATACGGAATATCTTTCCGTTTTAGTATAGGGAGAACGTAGATTTCAGATTTGGGCCAAATTCTGGTCATTTCTGAAAATAACGCTTTAAATTCGTGCTCTTTAACCCCATCTCCACGAAGGTCTCTTCCTCCTATGTGCACAAGCACCTTTTTTGGATTTATTTTATGACCTACTTCCTGTACATATTCTACACAACTGTTGCACCCCCCCCCCCCCCCCCCCCCCATATTTATATAGTCTATAACTGTAGATTCATAGGGGTTGAATCTCCTTGCTTGTATTCTTCTAATTATGGAATCACCAAGAATAAGATTGTCTGTGTCTATTCCTGGTTTAATATTTTCTCCTGTGTGTATTTGAGAACTACTAGTACTTGGATCATTGTTGTTAATGTCCTTCGGCTTGAGTAATTCAGTCTCGTCTTGTACGTCTGACTTAGTTTTTTTAGATTTATCTTGTACCTTTATACTTTGTGTTTCAAATGTATGAAATTTTTCTTTTAGTTCCGTCATCGAATCTTCATGTTCGTCTCTGTGAGATTGAACTGATTTTTGTATATGATCTAGCTTGTCCATAATTTTAATTTGCTTTTCACTTATATCTTTTACTTGTTTATCAAGTGAATTAGACTTAATATGTAGAGACTCTATAGATGTATTGTTGTGTTTAATTTTGCTTTCTATGGTATTAAGTTGTTCTTTAATTTGTTTTGTGAAAGATTTGAGTTGGTTTTCACTTTTTGATGATAGGTTGTCAAAATCATTAACAGCATGTTTGATGTCTGATACTATACCAACTATAGAAACCAGTGCCGTATCAACAGTTTCAAGCACAGTAAAAATACTTTCCAGATTTGAATGCAGAGTTTCTTGATGATGTGCCACTTTTGCTTTTGGAGTAAGTGTAGATTTTTAGACACTGGCGTTGATGTGAATTGTTTATTAGTATGCGGTGATGAAGGCGAATTGCACATCATCTTTCTTTTCGATCATTGTCATCTCAGGATCTAAATGTAATGTTAGCGAACTATCATCTATAGTTTTAGGTACAGTGGTTTCATTATCAGTTTTGTCTTTCAGTGAAGATGTGGTTTGGTTATTTTTATTTTGTGCATTACATGTGTGTTGGGCTTCTTCAGCAATTTTGACGACTTTGTCTTTCAGAATTTGAAAGTACTTTTCTTCAAATAATACACATTTTGTTCCTTGAATAACTATTGACCCTGTTTTATATATGTTTATCTTTATTTGAAAAACAGTGCCAGATTCATCGGTAGGTGTTACTTTGATGACCGAGGGGTTGCCACCGTCTTTAATCAAATGTGATGTGTCATTTCCAAAATAGGACAAAAGTACATTTTTCCATACTTCGGTATGCTCGGTTTTGAATGTCACATTATTTGTACGACCATCACATTGTTTATGGATTAACGGATTTTCATTGTTTTTAATAGCATTGTCAATTTCCCCTCCTGTAACACAGTCGTCGAACTTTGCTGGGGGTTTTGATAATCTGGAGCTCATATTTGTCTCCGAAAATGGCGTGATAAATGAGTATATTTATGACAGGATATACTTTATGTGTGAGTTGTTTATACTAGTCTATATTTTCGTTCATATTTTGAAGGAATCATCCTTATTCAGTGTCCTTTTAACTAAATTGGTTTCTCATTCAAAAAACGTGGACGTCGCCATCTTAACCGGAAGCTTTATACATAAAATATTTTAACGCTATAGCACTTTGCCCGGCGTTTAACCGACAAACGGCATAACAAATATCTAATCACCTGGGTTAATAATATCTACTCATGACAAGGTCTAAATCCCAAACATTTCACCACCAAGGTCAAAAATGACCACCTAGGTCTATTAAGAAGCCACCACGGCGAATATAAATGACCACCAAGGTCTTAAAGCCACCAAGGCTAGTATTTTCTTTTTAATGTT